TTCTTTCGAGACCAGTTTATTATATAAAAACCCAAAATTGTACCAAATGGATATAATGTGTAAAATGGATTTCATTCAAAATTGTTTCAGCCACCCCAAGCAAATTATTTACGTAAATAATTCATGGGCCCGCTAATTCTGTTATACAGATTAACTTCTAAAACTATCATCACTCTTCTGAAAAATACCTACATTCTGACCTTGAGGGTAAGAATTAATAATTCGTGTCGTTGTGGTTGTTGAGTCACTATTTGGTCAAGGCTGGACATCTTATTCGGACTACTGGAGAGTTATCGCGAAGTGTGTAAAGGCATTTCTGGGTCAAAATTATGACCGAGTACCAACGACTCTGAAGGCAATGAAAGGCACTAACTTAAAATTACTACGGATGCCTAGATATTGTCATTAATCAGTCGAAGCGACGATTTGTTGGGTTGAAAAGACAGTGGCTATTTTCATAATGATTCCCCACTTATTAGTAGCGTTTTGGTATCTCTTTCGGAATAAAAATTAACAAAGAAGCCATAACCTTTTAATCCAAATACGCTGCTGATACGGCATTCTGACGTTACTGTTATTATTTTTGTGTATTTGTTTAAATAGTATAATTTTATAACTATGTACTGTTAAAGCTATTGCAAACTTATTAATAATTGAACTTTTCATCGTTTGATTTGAATATTGCATATTGACTAAACACTTCCTCTCACGGTCGTCATATCTGAGGAAACGTTTTCAAAATTAATTGCCATTGCAGCGGGTCGTCTGTGCTAACTATCGATTCAAAGCGTTTATGTTGGAATTTCAACAAATTATTCCGCCGAACGCTGGAACTGAATTGAGTTTTTCAGGCAGATGGGACCCGCAATGAGCTGACTGGCTAGCAATATTCAATGTTAGGAAGCTAATTGCTTCATTCCGCCGGACGCGGGAACTGAATTGTTTTTCAGGCAGGTGGGTCTAGGGGCCCGGAATGAGGTGACTGGCTTGCAGTCTTCAATTTCAGGAAGCTAATTGTTTTATTCCGCCGGGGCCGGGAACTGAATTGCGTTATCCAGGCAGGGGGGTCTATGGGACCCTCAATGAGCTGACTGGCTTTCCGTGTTCAATATAAGGAAGCTAATTGCTTCATTCCGCCCGACGCGGGAACTGAATTGAATTTTTCTGGCAGATGGTACCCGCAATGAGCTGACAATGAGCAATGACTAGCAATATTCAATGTTAGGAAGCTAATTGCTTCAATCCGCCGGACGCGGGAACTGAATTGTTTTTCAGGCAGGTGGGTCTATGGGACGCGCAATGATCTGACTGGCTTACAGTCTTCAATATAAGGAAGCTAATTGTTTTATTCCCCCGGGGGCGGAAACTGAATTGAGTTTTTCAGGCAGGTGGGTCTATGGCTATGGGACCCGCAATGAGCTGACTGGCTTCCAATGTTAAATATAAGAAAGCTAATTGTTTCATTCCACCAGGCGCAGGAACTGAATTGTTTTTCAGGCAGGTGGGGCAATGAGACCCGCAATGAGCTGTCTCTGGCTTGCAGTCGTCAATATAAAGAAGCTAATTGCTTCATTCCGCATGACGCGGGAACTGAAAAGAGTTTTTCAGGCAGGTGGGGCTATAGGACCAGCAATGAGCTGTCTCTGGCTTGCAGTCGTCAATATAAAGAAGCTAATTGCTTCATTCCGACGGACGCGGGAACTGAGTTGTTTTTCAGGCAGGTGGGCCTATGGGACCCGCAATGAGCTATCTCTGGCTTGCAGTCTTCCATATAAGGGAGCTAATCATCTTAATCCGCCGTGCGGGGGATGTGGGTGGAGCCGCTGTCGGGAGCCGCGAGTGGGCCGCGGGGCATGCGCCTTGCGAAGGGCCCTCGCCGAGGAGTCGGGTCCCAGAGCCCGTTCATTTCCCTTCGGTAGAGCGCCCTTGGCAAGTTGTCGCCCAGGGCGTAGAGGCGACGCAATGCGTCTGCGTCGGGAAAGAAGTTCGGGGGCTGCTGTTCGCGGTGCTTTGTTGTTGAAGGATGGCTTCTGTCTCTGCACCTGAAGTGGGAACAGCGACGTGAGTCCCTTAGAACTCACAAGTTCATGACCTGAGGCTCTGAAAATATGGAGTCTTAATAATAAAAGTAACCTTCAGCGTTAGGTCATACATACAAGAAAAAGTCGTGATCGAATAAATGATTTGTTGAGTTACTTTAGCTTGTTCGAATGTACGCCTAGGTATTTTTCTTAGCACTACCTGTTGCAGTAATTGTAGGCAATGATTCGATAAAGCTTGTAGCCTTTCATAAGCGTATGTGAATATGTATTTTAAAAAAGTTTATAATATGTGAAACTTTAAATTAAGTTACTGTAAATGTGTTTAAAATGAGGGAAAAAAGACAGAAAGACGAAAATTTTATTAAAAGGATAAGGTCTGCGTTCAAATGTAATTTCGTGGCCTAATAAAACTCCAAAAATAAAACTCTTAAACTTAAATCTTGTATTAAATAATGCCATGAGTGGGATAATAGTTGTTCAGTCATTTTTCAGTGTAATATATTTAACTGTGTTGGATATACACAAGGAGCGAAATAATCTTACTTTAAAATGACTTTGTCCTACAAGATAGTCTTCAAAGAATGTTTCCTTCATTCAATTTTAATTTAAAATTTTGGTTTATAGTAATATTGCGCAAGGGTTAACAAAAATTATATTTCTTAACAAAATGTCTCAAGGGAATAAAGCATGTTACTTGAGAATATTCTGGGCAGTCGCGGACTGGTGTGCCGCCCTGGTGCATATTATGCCGCTTTCAAAAGGGATATTTTAATTACGTACTTTGAATAGTAGCAAACGTAAGTGATTGAAAATATTATTTATGCAAGTGTTATTACAGATTTATTAAATAATATCTATGTATACAATAAAATAAAGCTTTTTTCGAACTTTCAAACTTGCACCTTTTGTTATGATACTCTCTAAATATTGTTTCACTTTGAATTGAAATCGTAGCCAGATCTGTTAATATTTCTTGCGACATGGTTAATCGTAAGAAGTTTCTACATTGATAATTTTTAATTTTGGAAATGATCTTTCTGTGTCGGCTATTGCACGAGGCAGGTTAATAAAATTTGTAATATCACGGTCATATTAGGGAATGGTCCGGATAGTTTATTTTAATATATGAATTCAAATACTTCAGTTAGTGATAATTTCGATTTGAGAAATTTCATTATATTTAGTTCATCTGCTAATTCTATTGCTTTTATATCTTGTGAACTATCTTTACCAGTTTCGTCAGTTTAAATTATAGATGTATACATATTTTTATTGTGTCTGATTTACTAAATTTTGCGTAGTTTGTTGAAGTCATACACAAAATTATATATACTGTCATATACATATATGTACTGATATAGTATATGAAGTCATATACAAAACGCAACATCCCCGCGTTACGCAGGAGGCATTTGCCATATTAGGGATGATTAGGCTTGAAATAAATATAAAGCGCATCACGCTGCTCTTTAAGCAATTGAAACCTTACTTCAATAGATAAAACTGTAGTGTTAATAACAGTCGTCTAAACGGAAATGTGGTTCACACTTTATGTGGATCATTTTGATAATTTGTACTGTCATCATGTTCATAACCGAACAAGATTTTCTTACTTCATCTACTTGCAGAGCAGGGGTGGGAAATCTGTATCTATATCGCATACGTTAGCAAGCTCAGTTGCAGTGTTTATATTCCATCAAAATTATTGTGATGTCTGAATGTGATTCGAAATGTGAGGCCCACCATTCGCCCACGCATTGTATATCCATTACTTCCAATAATTAAGGGTCTTCAATGCTGAACCAAGAAAGACAAGTTGTATTTTGCTGGAATTTACCCATTATGTATTAATAAATGGAAAATTAATATTAGTTCAAATGAATACAGAAAAAAAATTGTACAACTGAGCTCAGTTTCATTTGTTTAGTGATAACGGTGAATGAACTGTTGTTTCCTATAGTGAAAATTAATTGTCGTACGAAAATTAATTGTTGTGAAAATTAACTGTGATAAACAAACCGCTATATCTCAACAACCATTTCACCTTTAAAACCACAACTCCAAACACGTTTCTTTCAGATATGTGGGACTCGGCATACATAATTGCATCAAAATCTGAGATGGACTCGCAGGGTACGTTTCCAAAATATGCTACAAATAACCTTTTTTATACCTACAGAGCAACTTTTTACTTCACATATTCAAACAGTGCAACCTAACTCAGAAACGGTACGAGTCGAGAAGTGTGAGGACATTCCTGGGTCAAAACTATGATCGAGTACCAACGACTGTGATGGCGATGAAAGGTACCAACTTAAAATTACTACGGATATCTAGATAGTGCCATAATCAGGCGAAGCGACGATTTGTTAGATTGAAATTTTTTGTGGCCATTTTCAAAGAGATTGATAGCGTTTTGGTAGCTTTTTGGTCTCTTTCGGATAAAATATTAACAAAGAAGCCATAACCCTTGAATCCAAATATGCAGCTGCTAAGGCGTTATGACGTTACTGGTATTGTTTTTGCGTATTTGCTTAAATAGTAAAATTTTATAACTATGTACTTTTAAAGATATTGCAAAATTATTAATATTTGAACATTGCATCGTTTGCATACAGAATAAACTAAACACTTTGAATCCAAATATGCAGCTGTGCTAAGGCGTTATGACGTTACTGGTATTGTTTTTGCTTTATTTGCCTTAAATCGCATGTAAATTTTGATAACTATGTTACTTTTAAAAGATATTGCCAAAAATTATTAAATATTGTTGAAACATTGCCATCGTTTGCATACAGGAATAAACTAAAACACTTCCTTCATCGGTCATCGTCAGAACCGTTTCAAATTAATGGCAAAAATGTAATACACTTTCTTGTAATAATTTTTCCACTCCCAAAAAAAGTGAGGTTATAATCTAATATATTGCTGGAGTCTTTATCTGATTGGGCCCCGTACTGTGTCAGCCATTGGCTTTTCCGTGGTGAGCTTACGCCTCTGAGTGGGCAGTAGCGCCTGCGCAGTGAACCGCTGCGATGATGGATCCTGGACGGGGTGGGCGCGGGCAGCCTCGCTTTCCTGCTCTGGCGGCGAGTGGAACTTCCTCCGTCCTGGTCTCTCATCCTGCTCCCGCGGCGTGACTTCATTTCCAATCCCTAAGACAGGAGAAAACCAACCCCAATTAACATATCTCAAATCAGAATTTATTCTTATAGCACTGACATATGAATTGTGTTAAC